GATGGGGGTGAGGATAAGGGTATCAGATTGATACCAATGAGCTTGAAAATGATTTAAGGATTTATGCAATTTTTCATTTGATTTTATATGTTGAATCTGATGTATATGTATATATATATATATATATTTTTTTTTTTCCTCAAAAATATTTGTACAACATTGATGTCCTGGCATATTGTTGTTTTAGATCCTTGGGGGCTGAGAGTAGTCAGGTGGAGAAGCACAGCAAATTTTCTGGTCTGAGGCTTAGAGTATTGTTTGCATTTTCTGTTTACTTGGTTCACAGTGATAGAGCTCTCAATCCCCTGTAGAGGTAACCCCTTCCCCCACTTTTTCAGAATGAATAAAATGTTTTAAAAATCAAATAATCATAATTGTTTCTTTTTTTTCTCTCTCTGCACCTGCCAACTTTATTGAGATATATACTAGTAATTGACATGCAACTGTTGTGTAAGTCTAAGGTGTGCACATGATGCATCGATACATGTATAGCTACTTTTTTGTTGTTGTAGTGGGAGCACTTAAGATTTACTGTCTTAGCAACTTTCAGCTATACAATTTAATATTGTTAACTGTGGCCACCATGCTGTATGTTAGAACCTCAGACCTTACTCATCTTGTAACTGGAAGTTTGTACCTCTTGACCAGCATTGCCCCATTTCCTCCAGGCCCAATTTCTGGCAACCACCATTCTGCTCCATGGTTCCATGAATTCAGCTCTTTATAAATTCTACATGTAAGTGAGATCATTGTTGTTTGTTTTCTTATTTCCAATGCTATATATATTCATTGTTCAAAAGATAAGATACTTTAGCATTCATAATATGCTAATAATCAGCACACCTAGACTCATGATATAGCCTTTCGAGTCTTTTTCTCTGCACCAGTGAGTGAGTAAATATTTTTTAAAATGAACAAATCAATGCCTTACTTTTTTAAAAAAATATATTTTATTGATTTTTTTTACAGAGAGGAAGGGAGAGATATAGAGTTAGAAACATTGATCAGCGGTCTCCTGCACATCTCCTACTGGGGATGTGCCCGCAACCCAGGTATGTGCCCTTGACCAGAATTGAACCCGGGACCTTTCAGTCCACAGGCCGACGCTCTATCCACTGAGCCAAACCGGTTTCGGCATAAATGCCTTACTTTTGATTGAATTATTGTCAAAGCTAAGAACTACCTCAGATTGCTTTTGAAAGGATGCAGAGCATTATGAAGAATTGAAAGCATCATAAAGGTTAATCTCATTTCTGCACCCCCAAAGTTCACCCCCATCCCCATAACCCACCTGTGTCATTTAGTGTCCAGCAGAGAGAAGTTCCTGCTGTGGGGCTGCTGCCTGAGTCAAAGGGTCAAGCTGTTATCCTTTTTAAGGGACTCAAGTGTCTGAAATGTCTCAAATGTAACAGAAAAGGTTGCTCTTTGGTGTTGAAGTGCAAAATTTGAGCAGAAAATTCTAAAGCCAAATTGCACAGTAAGAAAGAAGAAAGCCTTAGACAAGGTCATTGTTTTGGCATTGCATTTTATTGCCTGTTTGACTTTGGGCAGACAGGTAGCTTCCCTGAACCAAGTTCCTCTTCTGTAAGTTGGGGATAACGACCCCTACTCTACTGTCTCCTACCAGAGTCACAATGAGGACCAAGTGTCAAGTGTATGGTTATTTGCATTGCATGCAAGTGTGTATGCTATTAAAAAAAAGTTTAGATGTAGAAAGAGCAAAAGCATTGCCACTCTTTATAAAATTCTGGGATCTAATTCTTGGGTTTACCATTGGTAGGGATTAATTGTGATGCAACTACTCTATCAGAACCCTACTCCAAGTTTTCTTCAAAGACAAAAGAATTCCTTGATGGCTATCAGCTCATTGATCTTCAGGAGAAAAGGACAGAAAATAATCCCATTTCACAGAATAATAGTAGGCTTGCTCGTTTGCACAGGGGTCTCAGAGCTCTGGAGGGCTGTGTGTGTTACTTTAAGCACAGCAGAGGCATGCACGGAGGAAGCAAGGGGAGCAGCCAGATAGGCGGTGTCCCTGTGGGGGCACCCCAGGGTGTGCTGTAGGGTTTCCTACAGGTGCACACCTGGCTCCTGGTGGCTCTGGGGGGAGGAATGGGCCTTGCATGGGAGGCAGGTGACTTGGCTTCTACTCCTACCTCAGAGACAAGCTGTGCAATCTGGGTTTCATCATGTCCTCTCCTCTCCCTGAGCCTTGGCTTCTTTATCTATAAAGGGAGGGAGTTAGCCTAGATGAGTTCCTTCCAGTCTTAAACATCTAGGATTCTGGGTTATTTTCCATTCACACCTGCCCAAATAGAAGTTTGGTAGAGAAATACCACATCCAGATGAATCAGGTGTCGGAAAATGTTTCTACTTCTTTTTAAAAAAATATATATTTTATTATTTTTTTACAGAGATGAAGGGAGAGTTAGAAACATCGATGAGAGAGAGAAACATCGATCAGCTGCCTCCTGCACACCCCCTACTGAGGATGTGCCGGCAACCAAGGTACATGCCCTTGACCAGAATCAAACCTGGGACCTTTCAGTCCGCAGGCCAACGCTCTTTTCACAGAGCCAAACCGGTTATGGCTGTTTATACTTCTTGTTGCTTCAAGTTCTTTATTTTCCAAGGGTTTCCCCAGCTGGCCGCCCTCCTTCAGAGCACATGGTCCATAGATCATTGAGACTTGTTTCCACTCCTCTGTTAACTATTGTTGAGAGGGGAGAACTGCTTTCGGGCAACTTCTGAGCAGATAAGTTGACAGAAGTATAATGAAAGCAGGTTATTTATGGTAATAGAGCCATGAATGTGTGCCACTAAGTATTCACCTCTTAAATCACTAAATATGGTTTTTTCCTTTAGCACCCACTGGGGCCTTGATTGCAAGCTAAGACTTTTGCAGAAGGGAAAGAAGCACACTCTTGAGTGGTTTAGAACTCTGGGAGAGGGAGTGGGGAGAAAATCAGGAGAGGGAGGCAGCAGAGATGCCAGAGCACCAGGAGTAGTCAGAATACCATGGAGATCAAAAGGCCAATTTAAGAAAAGATTGATCCCCCAAGGGCTGGGACTGTCTGGTTTATTATTATTTTTGTTGCTGTTGTTAATCCTCACTGGAGGATATTTTTCCATTGATTATTAGAGAGAGTGGAATGGAGGGGGATAGACAGAAAGAGAGAAACATTGATTGGTCGCCTCCCACCTAAAACTGAGGTAGGCGTCTTTGACTGGAATCAAACCCAAGACCTTTCAGTCCTGTGCCAAAACTCTATCCACTGAGCCAAACTGGTTAGGGCTGGATTGTCTGGATTAATTCTGCATCTACATTGCCTGGCACTCAGTTGGACTTTAGTAAAACGTATTTTTAATCTCAGAGGGAAGGCTGGGGTGGGTGGGTGGGTGTGAGGTAATCAACCAAAGACCTTTGTATGCATATATGCATAACCCATGGACATAGACAATAGGGTGGTGAAGGCCTTGGGCAGCAGGTGAGGGTGGGCTAGAAGGGGCCATTGGGGGGGGGGAAGGGGACATATGCAATACTTTCAACAACAAAGATAAAAAATACATTAAGTGAATGAGTGAATGAATCTTCTGAAATGAAGTCTTTCCTGAAATGTTGCAGTAACCCTCAGGTGGTTATAGTAGCCTCTTTCACATGTGAAGTACTTACAACCACCAAAACACTTTCATGTGCATTATCTTCCTAGCGATGCCAGAGATCAAAGGAGGCCAAAATAAAAGCATTTCCTCAAGTGTGACATTCTAGTACTAGTAGAAATGGCTTTGGTTTATTATTCCTAGATGAAAATTCCCTCTATAAATGCATCAAGAAATATTTCAGAGGGGAGGGTTTAAGCCTTAGTAGACAATTCCACAAATTTGCATTCAGAGTTAGAGGAAGAAAGAAAGGCTTTGCTTAACTTCTGGGGGAATAAACATTTCTTGTTTCCTTTGCAGCAGCACTGTTTTACTGCTAGTTGGGACAGAACTGACACCATCAGATTCTGATGAGACAGATGTTTTTGGTGCTGTCATTACTCATGGCCACAGGCTCCTGGGCTCCTTGGCCACTGGCTGAATCAGATTAAGACACTGGGCTGTGAGGCTGAGGGCTTGGGCTGTCTTTTGTTGTTGTTGTTTTCTACACTCTTTCTAAGGGTGAACTGGCTTCTGACAGCAGAAACAGACGCCTCTACTGTTTCACAGCGGACCTCATGGACAGATTCTGTTGCCTCGCCTTCAGAAACGAGCAGGTGTATACATCGTGTTCACGGAAAAACATGCAAACCCATAGAGAACTTTTATGTGTTTACTTGAGCCAAACTGTCCACACTTGCCAGGAAGCAGAATCTCAAAGGGTTGGGACAATGCTCCAGAGAATGGCTGTTTTTCACTGTGTTTTATTCATTCTTTCTCTAAATTATTATTTAATACATTTTTATTGATTTCTGAGAGGATTTCTGAGGGAAAGAGTGATAGAAACACCCGCTACTGGGGATCGAGCCCACAACTGGGCCTGCGCCCTTGACTGAAATCGAACCCTGGACCCTTCGGTCTCTAGGCTGATGCTCTACCCACTGACCAAAACCGGATGGGGCGTTACTTTGTTTTATATGTGACAATCCAATCCAAGGAGAAGACATACGTGGGTTACAGGAAATCCACTGGTGATAGATGAGGGAGGGAGGGAGGAAGGGAGGGAGGGAGGAAAAGGGGGGTGGGGTGGGGAGTGGGGGTACACCTCTGGGATTGGATATAAAGCAAAAGGATAGATGCATACTTCTTTTTTAAAAAAATATATTTTTATTGATTGCAGAGAGGGAGGGAGAGAGAAACATCATTGATTAGGGAGAATCGGGGATCGGCGGCCTCCTGCACACCCCATAGTTGGGCTCGAGCCCGTGACCAGGGCTGGCATGCTCCCTGGCCCCGAATTGAACTCAGGACCTTAAGGTCCGCCACAGGCTGACATCGGCTCTACCCACTGAGGCAAACTGGCCAGGGCCACACCTACTTCTTTTCCTGAGGTGGGTGCAGGATAGATAGTTAACAGGCAACAATACACATGATAACAATAAGAATGAAGGAATTTATGGTCTCTTTCCTGCAGGGCTCCCAGGGGCATTTGCTTGTGTGGGGGGTGGGGGGATGGGGGGAGAGTAGGGGGGATAATGTTACAAGCTCCTCTGACATTTCAGAGGTGTGTTGTCTTAGATGCAAAAGGACCATAGGTTCAGTTAAGGTAAACGCTGACCTGGTCAGGGAAGACTCAGGCCTAGGACCCGACTACCCACCACAAGTGCTCTTAGTGACAGCCTCCCTTCAGACCATCCCTGTGGTCGCTTTAGGCCTTTCAGTTTGCAAGACCGCCAGGCAGGCCTTCCCCTGAGCTCGTCAGGTTAGCATGTGGCCCCTTTTGTCCACAGTTGTGTGGGAATAAACAAGTCATCCTTTCTGTCAAAGAAGGGAACTTAGGCAGCCTCCATTTTGACTCCAGGGACTTGGCAGCCGCCATTTCGAAACGGCATAGGTCAACCCCTCCCTCTTATCCTCTCCGCCCCCACCCCCCCCCCATTTTAATTTCGCTGCTTTATTTCTCTTTTAAACAAATTCACATTTCATTTATGTTGACATAAACTGTACAAAATTGACTTTCTTCACCGAAAATAACAGCTATGTTTTCTGTATTCTTCCTAGATAAACTACAAAACGCATTCTTATAGGTTGTCTAGGTTTTGCTTATAAATTGAGACGTGGCAGTAGATGTATCCACGGAAAAAGACAGAATGAAACAGACCGATCTGTTGTCAGGATCCATGGCCTCTGATCCTGTCTTGACCATGAAACAGAAGTGTTCCGCATATTCTAGCTTATGGAGCCCTAACTGGTTTGGCTCAGTGGATAGAGCATCTGCCTGCTGACTAAAAGGTCTCAGGTTTGATTACGGTCAAAGACATGTACCTTGGTTGTGGGCATATCCCCAGTAGGAGGTGTGCAGGAGGCAGCTGATAAATGTTTCTCTCTCATCGATGTTTCTAACGCTCTATCCCTCTCCCTTCCTCTCTGTAAAAAATAAATAAATAAATAAAATGCATTTAAAAAAATAAAAATCATCATTCTCCCCTTTTGGTTCAGTCTCTGGCTCATTGAAGTCTACATACACGTGACCCTCCTAAAAAACAACAACAACAACAACAAAAACCCACCCCACAAAAACCAACAACCAAGTTGGCATCACTGGCTTGAGTCAAACTGTCCACACTTGCTGGGAAGGAGAACCGCAAGGGGTTTGGACAATGCTCCAGAGAATGGCTGTTTTTCACTTTGTTTTATTCATTCTTTTTTCTAAATTATTATTTAATACATTTTTGTTGATTTCTGAGAGGAAGGGAGAGGGAGAGAGCGATAGAAACGTCCAGGATGACAGAGGATCACCCGTCCGCTGCTTCCTGCACACCCGCTCCTAGGGATCGAGCCCACAACTGGGCCTGCGCCCTTGACTGTAATCGAACCCAGGACCCCTTCGGTCCCCAGGCCGATGCTCTACCCACTGACCCAAACCGGCCGGGGCGTCACTTTGTTTAATACGTGACAATCTAATTCAAGGAGGAGACATAAGTGGGTTACAGGAAATCCACCGGTGATAGATGAAGGAGGGAGGGAGTGATGAAGGTACCAAAGTGGGGTGGCGGGGGGACCTCTGGGATTGAATAAAAAGTGAAATGATAGACGCACACTTCTTTTTATTTATTTTTTTGATGTTTTACAGAGAGGAAGGGAGAGGGAGGGAGAGAGAAACCTCATCAATGAGAGAGAATCTTGGATCGGCCGCCTCCTGCACGCCCCCTAGTGGGGCTCGAGCCTGTGACCCGGGCGGGTGGGCATGGGCCTGGGACCCAAAATCGAACCCGGGACCTTAAGGTCCGCCACAGGCTGACCTCGGCTCTACCCACTGAGCCAAACCGGCCAGGGCCACATCTACTTCTTTTCCTGAGGTGGGTGCAGGATAGATAGTTAACAGGCAACAATACACGTGATAACAATAGCAATGAAGGAATTTATGGTCTGTCCTGCAGAGCCCCCAGGCGCATTTGCTTGCGTGTGTGTGTGTTGGGGGGGAGGGCGCGGGGCGGGGACGGCGGGATGCTACAAGTTCCTCTGACATTTTATAGCATAGGTATGTTGTGTCTTAGATGCTAAGGTAAACACTGACCTGGTCTGGGAAGACTCCGGCCTAGGTAGGACCAGACTACCCACCACTACTGCTCTTAGAAACAGTCTCCCTTCAGACCATCCCTGCGGTGGCTTTAGGCCTCTCGGTTTGCAAGACCGCCAGGCAGGCCTTCCCCTAAGCTCGTCGGGTTAGCATGTGGCCCCTTTCGTCGTCCACAGTTGTGTGGGAATAAAGGAGTCATCCTTTCTGTCAAAGAAGGGAGTTTAGGCAGCTTCCATTTTGGCTCCAGGGGCTTGGCAGCCTCCATTTTGAAATGGCAAAGGTCAACCCCTCCCTCTTATCCTCTCCACCCCGCCTCCCCCTCCCACTCCCCCGTTTTAATTTTGCTGTTTTGTTTTTCCATTAAACAAATTCACATTTTATTTATGTTGACATAGACTGTACAAAATTGACTTTCTTCACCGAAAATGACAGCGATGTTTTCTGTATTCCTAGACCAACTACAAAACGCATTCTTGTCGGTTGTCTCGGTTTCGCTTATAAATCGAGACGCGGCAGTAGATGTAACCACGGAAAAAGACGGAATGAAACAGACCGATCTGTTGTCAGGATCCATGGCCTCTGATCCTGTCTTGACCGTGAAACGGAAGTGTGCCACATATTCTTGCTAAAAAGCTTATGAGGATATAGGCTCAACGAAGGAATGTAAACAGCGACACCCAGATGTGGGTGTAAGGATGGCGGGTTCTTTCTTCAATGTTTCACAGTCATTTGTTTAAGATCATCGAATAAAGACGAAAATCCACACCGAAATCCTTGTCTGGCAAGCTCACGTTTCTTTCACTACCTGGTCGTTTCACTGTTGGTTACAGATTTCTCGTAGCACACTTAAAACTCCTGCTAGTCAGAGGTTAGTCGTGAGCTTCATTGCACAATTTTATGAAACAGATTCCTTCCACACCTTCTCAAAATTTATTTCTTCAAAGAACTGATAACTCAATGCCCAACAACTGTGACAATGAATGTGATGTCTGCAATGACCTCACTAAAACAAGCCCAAAGTGCCATCGGCAGAGATCACGCAGAAGTGCAACGTGGCGCTTCCGATGATGCCTGCCGCCCTCTGGAAGAACAACAGTTCGTTCTCCAAAGCATGAGAGTTCACACCGGGGCCATTTAAGCAGAGGATCAGTGGCTAATCTACTCAAGAGATCCAGTGATTAAGTGACCCACCTATATCTTACAGCTTTTCTCTGTTTCCTTTCAAATTTCTCAGATTTTTTTTCAATATCAAATATAAGAGAGAACGCATTTTAAAAGTCCCTTGGGTATTTCCGACACTTTCGGAATTATCTGTAGGAAGCTCTGACTTAGTTGTGTAGACTTTGATGTATGTGTCCACCGTTAAATCCAAATCGTGTTTCACATCGAAATGCATGTTAAGCAAAGCTAAGCTACTTGACCTTTGCCCTGTCAAAGTGTTCCTCGGGTGTGCTTTGAGATGCTTTGCCCGTTTTCATAGCGCTCGTTCTCAACCTTCATCACAGGGAGAATTCGTAGGACCTTTAGCAATGTATAAACATGAGGAAAAAACTTGATGTCTGGCAGGTGGAGGGTGCCATGGTGGATGGAAGCTCTATATCTTTTCCTCTGGGTTTCCACTTGGTTCTCCAACAATGCAGCTCAGCTGAGAGTGCTGCATCAGGATTGGGTAAGTCGCTGCCGTACATGTCAGCCGGGTGCTCCTCCCGCATATTGAATTTGAGCCGTCCCGTGACAGAAGGGACCAGAGATCAGCATTGAAGAGCTTTGGGGTACTGTTCTGAGACTATCTCTTTCAGTTCCTGAACAATGTGTTCCACTGTTGTGACGCTTAGAGGCTCTTTATAGCACCTCTCAGAAGTCAGCTGAGACTCCAGGTTCCCTTGCTGAGCTCTGCGGAGCTTCCCAGGGAGCTTCATCAGAATAGCAAGTGTGGTTGCCAAATTGGTGGCTTCCTCAAACCAAAATTCACAATAAACTTCAATATCTTCCATCACTTCATGTAGCGAATGCAGCGCCTGCAGTTGAGCTATTGGCTGCAGAGAAGACATCAGAGGTCTGACCCTGGAGATTTTCCCCAGAGGCTCCTGTGAAAGGTAGAACGTTTTTAAGAACAACAATGGTAACCACGAAATCAAAATCTGTTGCTACACTGCAGAGTGTGAATGCTTGGCCTGCTATACAGTTTTCCCATCTACTATGTGTGTCCTCATGTATACCGCCTACACAGAAAACAAGCTCTCTCAGGAGCTCCACTACAATTTCAAAAGCATCGTGCCTGCCCGCCCGCTGAGAATGGCAAATTTCCTTCAGTTCTTTCCCGCTTTCTTCATTGTTCTGGAAGAGGACAGAAATGACACTGCCAAGCTCTAAAAGCGTTTGTGGTGACGGGTGGAAAAAAGATCAAACTTCCTCCACTGTTCCAAAGGCAACAGACGCTCCCGTGACAGGCACAGATCTGGCCGAACTCGGACTTCAGGCACAGCTAAGAGCACAGTGTGTAGACAGCTTGGGGAGGGATGTTTCTCCAAAAGTCTAGAAGCAACAACTTTCCTTTTGGAAGGAAAGCCACTGGACACAATGTAAGCCTGGCCACGACAATATTCCATGCGTAATCCCCACTTCACGGGTCTCGTCGTGGGAAATGTCATAGCCAAAATTTCAGCAGCGGCTTCAGAAGGCAGGAAACCCACAGATTCCTCTCTCAGGTCATGAGCTTCGTCAGCAAACCTCACCAACGCGGGCAGGTGCTCTTCCCCTGCTGTGTCCACTACGTGCGTGCGTGCCTGCGTCCCTTACGGGGGCCATGGAAAAGAAGGGAGAGTCTCTCACTCCCCTGAGCGTTCCTTCCCCGAATGCGGCTCTCATGGATCTCTAGCATCTGCTTCTGCTTGTACTTTTGAACAGGACGGTGCGTTGACTGCTGTGGTCTCAAAGGGCTTTCTCAGAGAGAACCTCTTCACCAGAATTTATCGGGCACTCCGACAGTGCCTGCCTGCCTGCCTGCCTGCCTGCCTGAAAGTTATCCGGAGTGAAGAGGCCTTCTGGGATTTCATCAGCTTCATGTCCATCTAGAGCAGTGGTTCTCAACCTTCCTAATGCCGCGACCCCTGAATACAGTTCCTCATGTTGTGGTGAACCCCAATTTCATTGTTACAGATTGAACATAATGAAAGCATAGTGATTAATCACAAAAAACAATATGCAATTATACATGTGTTTTCCGATGGTCTTAGGCGACCCCTGTGAGAGGATCGTTCGACCCCCAAAGGGGTCGCGACCCACAGGTTGGGAACCGCTGATCTAGAGGTATCTTTTGTTTTCCCATAAGAATCAAAACTGCAAATAAAGATTTTAAAGTATTCTTTTGTTTACTTTCTCTTCAAGGGTTAAAGGTAAAGTGTCTTCATCCTGTTCTTCACCCCCTTCTGTATTGGAGTTCTGAGCAAGGCTGTAGTTGATCGCTCTATGTTTGTTTTTGTTCCTGTTCAGAAGTTTCGTCAATTTTTTTTCCTGTTTCCATGTCCTGATTTCATCTTCGCTCAATTCTTTTATTCGTTTTCTATGTCTACTATGTGGATTGTTCAAATGACTGGTAAGATCACCTATTGTTGGTATTACATTATCTCGAAGAACTGTCCTATAAGGAAGGACTAGTTCTACAGATCATAGAGGTCTCAGAGTGTTTGGCACATCATCGATAATGTTTATTGAGTTGTTCAGGCGTTTTATCTTCTAAGTTTGCTCTCCTACAATTTCCCACCCACTTCTGGCATCTGGCCGGATCCCTCGGGAAACTGAAGAAGGCCAAATCTGACTGCATGCTCTTCCGAGTGCAGTCCGCCGCCCCCCCCCACCCCCCCGAAGAAGTTTGGCATCTTCGCTGGCGCCCCACCCCCGGTCCAGCACTCCCCTCCCCCCATGCCCACCACTGTCTTAATAATACAAAATGCAAGTACAAAACATTGTACAAGTATGCTTTTCACTACATGGAAGTGCAATAATACATTTGTGTGGCTTATAAAAATATATCTTCATTGATTTCAGAGAGGAAGGGAGAGGGAGAGAGAGCCAT